TGCGGAGGGTAAGACAAAGCTTTCCATCAGGAGGAAAGGAGAAGCAGCTTGCTCCAAGTGGTCCAAGCCATCAAGATTAGTTAGTTCTGTTAAAAGTTGTTGGGCTTCAACCAGGTGTGGCATCACAGGAGTTGAGTGAAGTACCGTTGATGACGGCACTAATACTGGCATCCGGGTGTCACCACCGCTGCTCCCGTGGCAGGACGAAACGGCTGGATGACGATAGGTCGAGGTTGCCGGAGACGAAACGCGGAATAGAGGACGAGATGAAGGGATAAAATGGGGGAGGAAGAGGAATAGACGAGAGCTAGAGGTAGAGGTGAGGGAGAGGAGAGGGAGAGGCGAGGAGTCAGAGACTTCGCGCGCCGTGGTGAGCGGCGTAGTGCAGCGCGCCGTAGCCGGTCCAGTGGCTGGCGGCGCCTGCTCAATTGATTAATAGGTATTCATTCAAAATGAAGTGGGGCCGGTCCAGCGGCTGGCGGCGCCTGCGTGTGCCCCCGCACTGAGCAAGCAGTGCACCTGAACAGCAAAATGAAAAGTTGCTATGGCTACCACGGCCCTTGATTGGCGCTTGGATGAGCTCGGATAAGCTCGGATAGCAGGGCTTGGAGACACGACGAGTGTGTCGCACCATGTAGTATAGGTGAGGTACGAGAGCCATGGGACATGTATCGGCTGCACCTGATCCAAGAGAGGGAAGGGCGTGAAGGGCGTGAAGGAGCAGCCACCGCTGCTGCAGGTGCCTCTTGGCTCGGCTTGATGGGCGCTCGTGTAGCATCGCGGCAGGAATGCAGCATTAATCGCGGCTATGGCTGCCACGGCTAGGGCTTGACTGGCGCTCGAATAAGCTCGGATAGCAGCTCGGCAATACCACGAGTGTGTCGCACCATGTGTTAGCGATAGTCTCACTGTCTCCCAGTGTGTGCCACGAGAGGCCTTGGGACATGTGTCGGCGGCATCGCGGCGGGACCACTATATGGGCCTCGCCGTCTCCCAGTGCGCCCCGTGGGCGGCGAGGATGAGGGGCGTGTTGCCAAAGGCGTCAGTCGCGTTGACTGGACCTGCGATAGGTCATGGTATCACGGCATCAGGCGGCTGGAGAGCGGCTGCAGACGGAGGCTGAGAGCGTGACTCCCGGAGTGTCTGGTCATGATGTTTGATGGGGCGTGGGCGGTGCGGGCGGTCTGGACGGCATTAGGAGACCATAGAGCGGCGGCGGAGGGAGGCTGAGAGAGACGGTGACGGTGGTTGCTCTGACGGCATCAGGAGACTGGAGAGTGCAGCAGAAAGAGGCTGAGAGAGATGTGTGACTAGGGCAGAGAGGCGGGAGTCACGCTCTCCCGCAGCGGTCCAGGGAGGCGAGAGAGAGATCAGTGCTAGGCAGCGGCGATGCGACAATGCTGCACGGCCGCACTAGACTCAACGATGCTTGATGAGTGGCTGTGCTGACGGCGGGAGATCCACCCGACTGCATCAGGAGAGATGTGTGATCAGACTGGGACCTGGGACTGGACCCGCGCCGACTGGACTGAGAGGGATGTGTGATCAGGGCAGATGTGTGAGCACGGCAAAAAGTGTGATCAGAGTTGAGGCGGAGTTCAGGCGGAGTCGTGGATTCAGTGTGGTCTGGCCGCTGAGAGGCTTGAGAGAGATATCAGTGCTGGGCGGCGGTGATGGCACGGCGGCGGCGATGGCGATACTGCTGCACGACCGCACTTGGCCGGAGTTTGATGAGTGTCTGTTTATGCTGATGGCACGGCTGTGCTGATGGCTGTGCTGAAAGCGGGAGATGCACCCGACTGCGCGAGGATCGCTCGGACGGCGACGAGCTGGCCCTGCTGCGCGGCAAAGTGGATGGTCCGCCAGCCGCCATCACCTACGTCCGGTGACGTAAATGCGGTGTGATGAGGGCCTGCTCGAGGAGGTGAGGAGGCAAGCGTCACCGATGGTGTCGTGCACTCGGCTGCCGGAATGCTTGATCAGCGCGAGGTAGCGGCCCCAGTCGCCCTTCTGCGCGAGAGAGACGCTGGCGGCGCCACAATGCTCCTCCTTCAGCAGCTCGCGAGCCCGTGAAAGCGAGGCGGGCGCGGCGACCATCACAACCCTCACTCGGCGCCGCAATGGATGCGGCCGCGATGCTGTCGGTACACCCCCCTTCTGAGGCGTGAATCCTTTAGGATTCTCGCCCGCTCTGCTGAGGGGAGGGGACGGTCGACTGGGCCGGTCGCTCGACCCGATTCTACTCTACTCTCAGTCTACCATTCATGGACAATAGTGTCTGTGACGGCGGTCACATTCACAGCGAGGTCAGTTCACAGCCGAGCAATCGATCCTGACACGCTCCACTTTCAGGGCTCGCCGCGGCTCGAGCAAGGTCAATGGCGATCGGCATCTTGCCAGCTGTGGCTTGCCCGTCTACCGCTACCGCGCCTTCAGATACAGTCGCGGAGAGGCTTGGCTTCGCTCAGACGTCATTCGTGCCTTGCTGGCGCGTGCGGTGCCATGCTTTCCTGCGGTTCCCTACGTTGATCGTTTTTGTCGGTGCGATTGCCGTGGTGGCGGTGGGTGCAGCCGAGCCGAGTGTCGTCGTTGACGGCACCGCGCTCGTCTTTCGACTGCCTCGCTTCCTCTACGGGCGCGGGGACGCGTGAGTCAGCGCACAGTCAAAGTAACTGGTGTGCGTTGAATGTCTGTTGTCGTCGAGGTTCTGCTGGGTCAGCTCACCGATGTGGTCCCGGCCGGCCTACGCGACAGCATCTGCGATATTGCTCGGCCGCTGACGCCTCGATGGTGGGTCGCCATTGCGAGGCCAACAATCCGGCGAGCTATGCCAGTGTCGTTACCGTTGCAGTGGTTTGGGGCGCCTCTCTGGCACTATCTTTGATGCCAGTGCGGTTCCCCAGACTTGGACAGATGCCAAGTGGCAGTCCATCCTCGCCTACCTCCGCAATGGAGGCAGGTAGTCGGCATATGGTCGAGTCTGGCGTCGATAGGACCCAGACCGATGCATTCTGCTTCAGTTCCTCGCGCGCTGTCCCTGCAACCCACACTTCGGCCCATCGACGGCCAGCACCCATAACAGCGCTCCTGAGGACCTCTGACTATCACGATACCACACGGAGAGAAAAGATTGAAATAAGACACACAGCAGGACAGTGTGTGTGTGTGTGTGTGTGTGTGTGTGTGTGTGTGTGTGTGAAACCGCCAATGGCAGTTATCAGTTGCGCGGACGTCGCCGCGGCTCGCCTCTGCCGCGGCGGATGCTGCGCGCACGCGGCGGCGCCGCTCTCTCGCGAGACGGCTGGCGACGCGGCTCGCGGCCGACGTACGCTGCGCTCGTCCGACCGCCCGCGGCGTGGCGTGCGCGGCGTTGCGCGCCGCTCTGCGAGCGCTTCTGCGCTGCTGTCACCCTGCACTGTCTCTCTCTGGTGCTGCTGGTGGTGGTGATGTTGCTGCTGCTGGTGCATATGCTGCTGCTGGCGCGGCGAGGCTCCGCGACCCGGCTCGAGACGCGCGTCGCGAGCATCTGACACGGCGGCTTCGGGCAGGTTGCGCCTCTCTCTGGTGCTGCTGCTGCTGGTGGTGCTGGTGCTGCTGGTGCTGATGCTGCTGCTGGTGCGGCGCGGCTCTCCGACTCGACTCGAGGCGCGCGTCGCGGCAATCTGACGCGGCGGGCGGCGTCGCGGGCGGCAGCGATCGCGGCTCGACGGTGGAGGTGGGGGCTGGAGGCGTGGTTGACCTTTGAGTTTATTTCATGGTCGAGTACGAGGACTGGGGGTCAACCGGGAGGCAGGGGGTCAACCACGCGACGGCGGACCGTGGGCCATCGCGGGGACGGGTCCGTCCGGAGGGCGACCCCGGCAGATCCGGATGGTCTCACCCGGTGGGAGGCACTGAGGCGTCTGGGACGCTCCACTCTACCTTAGCTCCTGAGGGGCGCGTGGTTCTAACCACGTAGTATGACTATAGCCCACCACAGACACCCTCCCTGCTCCACACGTGTGCACACACCCTCACCCTCTCCTCTCTCCTCTCTCTCTCTCTCTCTGCTCTCTCCTCTCCTTGTCTGCTGTCTGCCTGACTCAGGCGCAATCTGCCGATGCGAGATTGTGTGTGGGCTGCTCCTAGGGGGCCCTGTGCGATCCGACGGGTAGCTGTGCCCGGGCGGTGTCCGGTGTGGAGTCCCCTTCTGATCCTGCCTGGAGTGTTGGGTGCGAGGTTGTGGCGGCTTCGATCCCAAGGGGGGGAGCTGATCCCACTCAGTAACCAACTCTCAGGGGCAGTAGGTGGGCGAGCTTCAGGCGCGCCCATCTCGATCGACAAGGCGTCGCTACGTGCGGTCTTCCGCGGGGGGAGCTGCGTCGACGGGTGCGGGATCACGGCGCAGTCTGTGCCGTGGCGATGCCTCCGGCTGTTTGCGGCGGCGGCTTGCTGCTCGCTGCATGGCGAAAAACTCGTCTCGCCACACGCCAAGGGCTTATGCTCTGGCGAGACGTGAGGCGCATGCGCCCAGGAGGGGAGGGGGCATGCGTAACGACGCTGCTAGAGATGCGTTTCGGGGCCCAGAGATAAAACTTCTGATGCCATGCATGACCTAGTAGTGTCCCCAGCTATGGGCGTGTCCACGTTGGAGCCAGGTGTGGTGTGGGCGCGAGAATAGCTCCGCCGTTCATGGAGGCAACCGATGCGAGTCGACTGGTGTGTGTCGTCGTGGTTTCGTATCAAGAATACTCACTCACTCACTCACAGCAGGACACAGCCGGACTGAGATGGAACACTGTTGGCCAGCTTACGCTATTCGGTTTGAGTGTGTTTATATGTGCCGGATAAAGTGTGCGAGGGCTTGGATCCAGCAGCTCTCGAGGTCTCGAGGTCTCGAGTGAAAAGCACCATCCGGGGACCCACCACTGCCCCTGCTGTTGTCGATGCTGCGCAAGCTGATCCGCAAGGGCGAGCTTCTCGTCTGCCCTGGCGTCTACGACGGCATCTCCCTCCGCATCGCACAGAAAGTTGGTTTCGACGCCCACTACATGACCGGCTACGGCACCGTCGCCTCGCACCTCGGCCTGCCTGACGCCGGCCTCGCTGGCTACGGTGCTTACTTATCCTCGTACACCGTCGAACACAGCAGAACACGAAGCAACACGGCGCCGCGAAGCAACACGGACAGCACAGCCGCACGCCCAGCACAGCCGCACGCAAACCACAACGGCACCGCTGCTTAGCAGCGAGGCGCTCACTGACAGCTCCGCACCTGTCCGCAGGCGAGATGGTGGATCGCGTCCGCACGCTCAGCCGCATCTCGACTGCTCCGCTCATCTGCGACGGCGACACCGGCTACGGAGGCCTGTTCCTCCACGCACACGCACACACACACACACGCACACACACACACACACACACACACACACTCACACACACACACACACACACACACAGTCCCGGGTATGTCCAGGCCTGCTGAACGTTGCTCACACGGTGGAGGGGTACGAGGCCGCCGGCGCCGCCGCCATCCAGCTCGAGGACCAGGAGATCGCTCGAGATCGCTCGAGATCGCTCGAGATCGCTCGAGATTGCTAGAGGACCAGGAGGCACACACGCCGCCAGGCAGCAGCGTCTCTTCACAGCGCGTAGCTGTGAGCAGGAGTTCCCGAAGAAGTGCGGCCACACGCCGGGCAGGAGAGCGGTGCCGCTGCCCTGTTCACAGCTACGCGCTGTGAAGAGACACTGTTCACGCGCCCGGCAGGGGAGCGGTGCCCCTTCACAGCTCCTGTTCACAGCGGCACGCCATTTAGCTGTGAAGACACGCCCGCAGGAGAGTGGTGCCGCTGCAAGAGGCGGCGGCCAGGATCCGGGTGGCGGCGGAGGCGCGATCTCGGCGAATCTCGGCGAATCTCGGCCAAGCTCGGCGGATCTCGGCGAAGCTCGGGCCAAGCTCGCCCAGATCTGGGAGACACCTCGGCCATATCTCGGCTGCATCTCGGCTCTATCTCGGCCAATCTCCCTCACCCTCGGAGGCGCGCCGCTCCCGCGACTTTCTCATCGTTGCTCGCACCGACGCGCGGACGGCGAGATTGCGCCGAGATTGCGCCGAGATTGCCACCGAGATTGCCGGAGGTTCTCGCCTCCCAACTCCCCCTGGCTGTGAGCAGGAGCACGGCTTGGACGAGGCGCTGCGCAGCGCAGAAGCCATCGTCATGCCTTTTGCGCGCGACATTTCGTTTCTTCTCTAGGCTTTGCGGCGCGCAGAGGCCGTGTCATGGTGTCTTTGTTTTTTGGCACGAGGTATTTTTTCCTTCTAGGCGCTGCGCCGCGCAGAGGCCTTTGCCAGCGCAGGCGCCCTTGTCGTCGTCGGAGCCGGTGAGGCTGTGAGCGAGAGAGCTGTGAATGCAAGAGGGGGCGGCGGCTGTGAACAGGCGCGGACATCCTCTTTGTCGAGTCTCCTGAGCCCGAGGAGGAGACCGCCATGTGTTTCTTTTTTGTAGGCGCGGACATCCTCTTTGTCGAGTCTCCCGAGACGGAGGCGGAGATGGAGCGCATCGGCGAAGCACTGGCCGGCGTGCCGCCGCTGCGTCAACGTCGTCGACGATCAGGGGGTTCCGGTGGGCGGATGTTTTTTTCTTTTTTTCTGTAGGCCTCCCGCTCCTGGTCAACGTCGTCGAGGGCGGCAAGACGCCGGCGCTTAGTCTAACCCGAACCCTAATCCAGCCCGAACCCTCACCCCGACCTGACCCTGACCCTGACCCTAACCCTGACCCTGACCCTGACCCTGACCCAGACCCTGACCCCGACCCTATAACCCTAGGTGCTGAGTCGGCAGCGGTACGTGGAGCTCGGCTACCAAGTCGCCATCTTTCCGGCGACGGCCTTCCTCGCTGCGGGGAGAGGCATCGAGTCTGTCTATTCGCACCTCAAGGCGACGGGCCGAGATTGCCCCGAGATCGGCTACTCCCGCCCCTAATCTCGGCGGATCTCGCGCCACCTTCGACGGGGTCGTCGGCGGGAAAGAAAAAAGAAACCGATCGGTGCATTTCTTTTTTTAGGCGACGGGGTCGTCGGCGGGCGCTGAGGGCAGCTTGGCCGACGTCACGGGGCGCGCCGCGAACAGCGTGCCTTCACAGCCCTAGCTGTGAACAGGCGAGCTGGCCGACTTCATGGACTTCTCGAGGACGTTGGGCTTCGAGCGCGTTTGGGAGTTTGACAGGGCGCACGCCGATGTCACGGCGAGCGATAGTTCCCTTCCTTTGTGGGACGACCTGGAGCGGCGCTGGAAGCTGACGCGCGACGCGCTGGCCGTGTACAAGGAGCTGCACGGCGACCTGGAGCTGCCCACGGCATTCGTGGTGCCGTCGGAGGCGCCGTGGCCCGCAGAGGCGTGGGGGCTGAAGCTCGGGAGCAGGGTGCAGAACATCCGCAGCAAGGAGATCTTCGTCAAGGACGCGCCGGAGCGGCGCGCGGAGCTGGACGCGATGGGCTTCGTGTGGGACGAGCCGGAGCGGCGCTGGGAGCTGACGCGCGACGCGCTGGCCGTGTACAAGGAGCTGCACGGCGACTTGCAGGTGACCAGGGCGTTCGTGGTGCCGTCGGAGGCGCCGTGGCCCGCAGAAGCGTGGGGGCTGAAACTTGGGTGCAGGGTGAACAACATCCGCCACAAAGAGCACTTCATCAAGGACGAGCCGGAGCGGCGCGTGGAGCTGGACGCGATGGGTTTCCGCTGGATTAAATGAACATGAACACAAAGGTCACAAACGCAACGGCAACACACAGTGTCGATCACCTCACAACTCCGATGCTGAGCGCTGCGCGGGCCACGGGCCGGGCGCTGTGCGTGGGCGGGGTGCCGCTTGTTGTTATGGGGCGCGGCGCTACCTGGCACCTGCGCTGGTTTCGGCGTTGGGCGACTACAATGTACATCATGGCCATGTGCGCGTGCCGAAGAGCTTCGTCGTGCCGGATGAGGAGGGCTGGGCGGCGGTGGCCCGGGGGCTGAAGCTGGGCATCCAGGTGAGCGAGCGTTGTTCTCCGTTACAGTATGTGCAGCATGCCACATTTTCGCGCTCTCGAGTAGAGGTAAGGTAAGGTAAGGTAAACGTCTAAGGTAAGGTAAGGTAAGGTAAATTTCTCCACACACACAAAGTGGTGGGGCAAGGGGGGGCGACCCTCGCATCTCCACACCCGGACACGGGCAGGAGCCCCACGGCATTCAAAGTGCAAGGTAAACGTCTCCACACACACACAAAGAGTGGTGGGGCAAGGGGGGGCGACCCTCGCATCTCCACGCCCGGGACACGGGCAGGAGCCCCACGGCATTCAAAGTGCAAGCACCGGCCCGGTGCCGTGGGTGAGCAACCTGCACCCCACTCCTACTCCTATAACACAACCCCCACAGCGTGGTCGTCTCGAGTAGACGAGGTTTAGTTTGCCGATATCTCGGGCGCAAATTCTCTGGTGGTGCTGCGCACTCTGCGCAGCGCCACCGGCGGCGCGTCGGAGTGGCGGCCGCCACTGGTGTGGTGCAGAGAGGTTCCTCTCCGTAGAGCCCCAGTCACCACCGGCGGCCGCCTCAACTCCCCGAGCGGTGCCGGTCTGAACCCCGGCACGCTCTGCGATTCCTGCGCTTGCCGCAGGGTCACAACCCCTGAGCAAGCTACTGGCGGAACCACCTCAAGGCCGGCGCGCACGCGCCGGCGATGGACTACGTCAGCGGCTCAAGGGCTCGCACTTCCCTCACCACCGCGCGCGCGCTGCAGCAGGAGTACCGCATGCCGCAGTGCGACATCCGCTTCTCCCGTCTCTGCGATCGGCCTCGCTTCATCGTGCACTCTGAATGCCGCGGGGCTCCTGTCTTACTTAAGACGTGGAGTCGCGAGGGATAGCCTTGCCCCACCACCTCGTGCGTGTTTACCTTCTTCTACCTTCCTGACGTGGCGGCGGCGAACATCGGCAAAGGGCATGTGCGCCTCGTTGGCGACTTGAAACTTACGAGCTCGCTTGCGTGCAAGGGTGGCGATCGGCTCGGCTGGAAGGGGGCTTTTGTCGCCTTCGGCAACACCGAGCGGGCGCTGCTCGACTTAGTGTTAGGGCATGCTGCATGGCCGCGGCCGGAGGGGGGGAGGGGGGGAGGGAGGCGGAGGATGCAGAGGCGGAGGCGGCGGCGGCGGAAGAGGAGGAGGGGGAGAGTGAGGGGGGGGAGGCGGAGGCGGGGGCACCTGTGACGGCCCGCTACGAGAAGGGCGACTACCGGTTCGCGCGGGAGAAGAATTGCGACCTGCGTTTGCTCGACTTCGAGACGTTCGGCGGCTTCGGGGACGGCGTCCGCAAAATTCTTCGGCAGGCGGCGGTCCAGCTGAGTAACAAACTTTCGCACGCTCAGCACCTCGATGAGGTCACATGGACCACCAAGAACTGGCACGGGCTGCAGATGCAGCGCTTGTCTGTCGTTCTCCACACCGCCGTGGCGTGGCAGACGGTGAACGAGCTAGCGTGCGGGGACAGCGGCATTGTTCACGGTGCTAAGTGCATTGCCGTTCTTAACGGAGTCGCTTAGGCGGCTCCGGTGGTGTGCCGGTGATAGTACTAGCACGCGCCAGTTCGCACCTGTGTCGAGCCTGTCTGCTGTGAGACAGAGTTGTTTTGTTTAAAATTCTTCTACCTTCTTCCTTCTTTTACCTTAGGTGCGTACTCGATAGCGGTCACGCTGTAGCTCGCGCATAGGAGCAGGAGGCTAGGCAGAGGCCGCATCGCGTTCGCTGAGCTGTAACAAGTTTGACCCAAAACAAGAACACAAGTTTGGCTCTACTAATATAGCGCGCGGATAAAGCGCGCGCGCCGCGGTGGCGGCGAAATATAATATTATCTCAGAGGAATATAGTGTGAATGCCCGGGAACAGCCCCTCCTGGCCCGAGTGCGGGGCGCGAGGGACAAATAAATTCAAAGGGCATGAAAGTCGTCGAGCTGCTTGATCAGGCCAGTAAAGATGGCCCGCGAGGCAGCCTTCGTGAGTAGGTCGGCGAGCATCACGACGCCGGGGAGGTGTTCGACGGAGATAACGCCACGGCTGACGAGATCGCGAAGAAACTCGGCGGCGCGCAAGATGTGCTTGGTCTTCTTGAAGGCGACGGGATCGAAGGCCATGCCGACGGCGGACTTGCTGTCGCAGTTGATGACGCTGGCGCCGTCGATGGAAAATCCAAGGTCGATCAGTAGCTCACGGATGAAAATCACCTCCTTGGCGGCTAGCATGGCGCCGAAGAACTCTGCCTCGGCACTAGACAGCGTGACGGATCGCTGCATTTTGGAGAACCAGTGGAAGAGACATCCGTAGAAGAAGAACATGCCACCGGAGCAAGAGTACTTCGTGGCCCAGTTTGAATCGACGTAGCTCTCAAGGTTGCGGTTGGAATTTGGCTGCATGACGAGGGCGCGGTCAGCTGTGTCGCGCACGTAGATAAGCACCCGGATGGCGGCTTTAAAATGCGACGGGCCGGGGTTCGTCATAAACCGAGCAAGCTGAGACGCGGAATAAGCAATGTCGACGCGCGTCATATTGGCAAGCCACAGTAGTCCGCCGACGATGGCCATGTAGGCGGTGCGGAATTCGGACATCTCGTCGTATTCAACAGATCCAACGGCGGGCTGATCGTCGGCGGACAGTTCGAGCCCCTCCTCCATAGGCGAGTCGAAGCGGCGTGAGCGGGACCGATCGAAATAGGCGCTGAACTTGGTAACGAGGTCGGCGGCGTAGAGGCCCTGGGACAAATTCAGGGTCCGTGCGCCGCGGTCACGCGTGATGGCGGTGTTCAGTATCCATTCGAGCTCGCCCTTGTCCTCGGTAGGAAAACGCTTGGAGATGTCGGCAACAAAACGGGCGCGCAGCGTGGGGCAGTTGTCGGCGATGAGTATGTCGTCGACGTAAACTAGCACCCAAGGCAAAGGAAGCCGTTCCCGTCGCATTGACCCAGAAGAATGGGCAGCATTGAGTAATCCAGCAACACCCCACGTCAGCTGGCTAGCGCGATGGACGGGCGGCCGCGTTGCGGACCCTCCACAAACCGCGCCGGTAGCAGCTGGCGGCAACCACCGCTTGCGGGGTGGCGCCGCTGACGTATCGTCGAGCAATCCACAGCGCGATCCCTCGATGAATGCGCCCGGGGACTCCGCAGGGGGGCAGGCGGGTTCCGACGAGCCGCCGCGCCGTGCCACGCCGTCTGGACCGCTGGACATCGGTGGAGCGCCGGCGACGTACGACGACCCCGACTTTGCGGCGCTCGGCACCACACACGGCGATCCTGCCCGGTTTCCGCGTTGGCTACTGCTCGTCATGACGGCGGTGGTCATGCCGGTGAGAGTATGCCTGAGATCGACTTAGAATGGTCACAACGCGAGATAGTCCGCGTTGCCGATCTCCGCAACCGCTGCTGGCGTGGACAGGTGGCGCTGCTTGCAGGGAGACACCGCGTGATGGAGCTCGTTGGCGAGGGAACAGCCGGCTTGGGGCGCGCGGGGGCACCCGAGATTGGAGACTGGTGCAGACTGGTCCAGACCCGAGCTCCGAGCCCCGGCCTCGCAGGTACGACCAGCCCGCCACGTCGCCGCTCGGATCGATGACCACCGACGGCAAATGCGGTAGACAGCCGGCCCGCTTCCCCCAGCAGCCTTGAGTGGCGTCTCTTCACGCTTGTAGGCGGATCGCCGTGGGTGCCACCCCACCCGGGATACAGCCGTTCGCCGCCGGCCCCGGCTGCTCTGAGGCCGCCAGCGGTCAGGACGGTGGTGGGACGGGCGGTTGAGCCGTAGCCTGAAACTGGCGACACTGGTGCACCTCGCGGTGCGCGCAGGCGCGCGGAACGTGCAAAGCTGGCGCCAGGCGAGCGGCCGCGGTGCGGGACGATGGATGCCGTGTGTATAGAATGCGGTTGCTGCGGGGGTGGTGTGTAGAGTGCAGTGAGCCATCGTGCCGGAGCCGTACAGTACGCGAGTGGTGAGGGGTGTGGTGTGGAGCGGACTCGCGAGGAGCGGAGAGACAACGGTCAACGCGAGCGTGGGGGACTTCGTTGCACCGCCGGAGTGTGCTCGAGGTCGAGCCAGTGGTGCGCGCCGTCGCGACTTCGCACAGTACGTAAACACCCGCGTCGCTGACGCCACCGTGTGCCGCTTGTCCTTCTGGCATCGCGGTGAGGACCGCGGCCCGGTGTCGGCCGCAATCTCGTGTGAGACACTCGACACACCACACACCACACATGCGACTCTGTGGCGCGCGCATCCGCAACACCTGCCCGATGCCGCGGCCGCCGGCGTGGGGGACCGCGCAGTGTCCTTTCACATAATGACCAGTATCAGCAAAACACGAGAGGCATGAACAAAAAGCGCCCGGCTTCGACATCGTATCTAGTCACACCGGCGTCAACGAGCACGCATGCCCCGCGGTGCGCGGAGCCGGAGGTGATGGTCTGATGGTGTCGCACGACCGAGGGCCGCCTCGGACACACGCGGCAGCAGCCCGCGGGCGGCCGCGCGGACTCGATCTACACTGACAGCTGCTGTGTCGTGGGAGACTGACAAGTGCAAGCCATCCTCAAGAGTCAGACAAAGAGGCGGTGACGCACGGTGCGGTACGCGCCACGCCGTGCTCTAGTCGCCCTCGCTGCTCGACGCCGCCGACGCGGGCGTCGCCGCGTCTGCATCAGCGGCGCGCCCCCACTTCCTACGCGGTGGCTTCTGGCTGTGAACACAATCTCGGCACATCTCGCCGCGTATCTCGGCGTATCTCGCGATCCAGCGTGTGAGTACACCGCGCTCGCATTCGCCTTCCTGGGACCCAGTGCTGCCTTCTGGCTGCCGTCGCTGTCTCTCTCCCTTCTCGACCTGCCTGTGCTTGTGCGCCCCGGGCCATGGCGTGTGTTCTTGTGTGTGGAGACGCCAGCCTCGGGGCTGGAGGACGGCATTGTGCGAGAGTCTTCGGAGCGCCGCGTGAGTACGAGGGGCTGCGAGTGCAGCGATTGAGCGCCTCCCTCCCACGGCTGCGCGCATGACCGGTGCGGCCTCCGAGTCGGCGACTAGCGACGCGCGATACGGTTTTTGCTCGCCTTCCCTGGGACCCCGCGGGTTGCACGTCTGGCTGTCACTGTGCGGTTTCGGAGCCCGGGGTTGTGCGTTTATGTGAACGCGACTGAACGCGGCGCGAGTACGGCGGAGTGCGTGTCCTCTCGAGCGCTGGTTGGAAGACAAGAGTCCGTGTTCCGCTTCTACCCATCCTCTTCCTCCCCGCGCCGCCGTCGTCGTCCGCCTCCGCGCGGCCTCGCTTGCCTGCCCGCAGGTGGAGGGGTGTGAAGAGACGCTGTTCACACCTCGCTTGCCTGCCCGCAGGTGGAGGGGTGTGAAGAGACGCTGTTCACACCAGCACGCCGGTGTGCGGGTGTAGGGGGGCGGGGGGGAGGGAGGAGGGAGGAGGGGGTAGGGGGTGGTGGGCGGTGGGGGGGGAGCGGTGGGGGGGAGCGGTGGGGGGGAGCGGTGGGGGGGAGCGGTGGGGGGAGCGGTGGGGGCAGGGGGGCGGTGGGGGGGGCGCGTGGCACCGCCCGCTGCCGCCCCCTTCTCCGCGCCCCGGTCCTTCTTCTTCTCCTCCTTCGCCTCCCGCCAGTCCCGCTTCCCCTTCTTCCCCGCCTTCCCCTTCTTCCCCGCCTTCCCCTTCTTCTCCCTCCTCGCCGCCTTGGCCGCCTTGCGCTCCGCCTTCATCTCTCTCCGCCGCTCCTTCTCTCGCTTCCGCTGCAGCCTCGCGCCGCCTCCCCCGCCCTCCCCGCCCTCCCCGCCCCCGCCGCCTCCCCCGCCGCCCCCGCCGCCCTCGCCCCCGCCCTCGCCCCCGCCCCCGCCCCCGCCCTCGCCGCCGCCGGATCCGCCGCCCTCCCCGTCGCTCTCGTCCACATAGCCAGCCTAAAAAAGAAACACTGCTGCCGCGCCCCAGTATTTCTTTTTTAGGCGCTCTCGTCCACATAGCCAGCCATCGGGTCGACGTCGTCGTCCGCCGCTGCCGCCGCCGCAACCGCCGCCGGCGGGCATGGCTTTCGAGCGACAGAGGAGGAGGTCGAGGCGGGCGCGGCGGAGGCGGAGGCGGAGGAGGAGGAGGCGGCGGAGGCGGAGGCGGAGGAGGCGGCGGAGGCGGCGGCGGCCCGCGGCTTGGCGGCGGCGGCGGCCGGCGGCGTGGCGGTGAGTGTGTAGCTGCGGGAGGAGGCGCCTAGAAGGTTCCTGGACGGTTCCGAGAAGGTTCCTTGAGGGCGGGGAGCGTGTAGCTGGGAGGAGGCGCCAAAGATGAGCGTGGCGCCCTCGCGGAGCGGCGTGTACCTGATTACTAATTAATTAATACTCACAATTAATAATTAAGGAGCGTGGCGCCCTCGCGGAGCGGCGTGTACCTTATTAATAATTAATGAATAATTAATAACTACTAGTTTAGGAGCGTGGCGCCCTCGCGGGGCGGCGCGTACCTGGCAATGAGAATCGCAAAAACGATCAATCATTGCGCAGTAATCACAGCCCTCGCGCACCCGCGTGCGCTCGTTCGCCGGCCACTACCAGTGATGGCTACTACTGCGGTGATGGCTACTGATGGCTACTACTAGGGCGATGGCCACTACCACGAGATGGCATCTGCGGCACTACGAGATGGCATCTACTGCAGTGAGTGTACTTGTTGGCCGGCATCTTCTCGCCGTCGAGCGTCGTGCCGAAGCGCGAGCCGAGGTCGACGGCGAAGGTCTCGCCCTGAAAGGAGTGCCGTAGTCGAGATCAGCCGAGATGAGCCGAGAGGAGCCGAGATTAGCCGAGAGTAGCCGAGAGTGGCCAAGGGTAGCCGAGAGAAGAGAGGAGCCGACCGGAGCCAAGAGGAGCCGAGAGGAGCCGAGAGGAGCCGAGAGGAGTAGGGGGTTGCCGAGAGTGGCCGAGAGGAGCCGAGAGGAGCCGAGTGGAGCCGAGTGGAGCCGAGAGCAGCAGAGATCCGCCGAGAGCAGCAGCCGAGAGAGCCGAGAGTAGCCGAGAGTGTTTGCCTGAAAGGAGTGGACGACGGCCGCGTGCTGGCGCGAGATCGAGTCGTGGTCGAGCCGCACCGTGCCGCGCTCGGGCTCGTTCGGCACCTGCCGCAGAGCGTCCAGAGAAGCGTCACGCCGTCACACGCCGCTGGGCCTCGCCGCGAGCGCGCGCGAAAGGCGTCGGTCTCGTGTGGAGAGAAGAAGCCGAGTGAGAGGCAGAACGCTCCGTGTCTGGACGTGTGACAGCGTGACGCCGTATGCTCGACGTGACGACGTATCACGGGGCGTATGCTGCCGCCGAGCGAGAGAGCGGGAAGTGTCCGAGCGCGTCTCTCGCGCACCCGGCGGCCGAAGAGGAGCGCGCGGTCGGAGATGGTGAGGTGACCGGTGGAGGCGCCCTCCTTGGTGATGAGGAGGTAGCGCGGCGTTGACGGCTTGGCCGACCAGCCGGGAGGGCGCCAGTTGAGGTCCGCCATGATCGTCGAGAAGAAGAATTCTAGGCTAACGCCGGAAAGCCGAGGCCGGAGGGCCCCGGGGGGGACTTGGGGTCAGTTGTCGGAGGAGGCGAGAGATGAGCTAACGCGGCCTCTGAGAGTGGAGTCGGGACGTACGGACGAGCCGAGGACGATAGAGAGACCGCGGGGGCGGGCACGAGTCCTCGACCGGAGGGAGCTGGCCCCGCTTCTCGGGGAGGAATGGCGTGCCGATCCAGTGCCGCCGCCCTCGCCCGAGGAGTTGGGCAAGGGATCACCGTCGATGATGACGACAGAATCGGACAGAGGAGACGAGACGGGGGCGGAGCCGCGGCTGAAAAAGGCCAGGAGAGGAGGTCGGGCCCCGCGCCCGTCGCACAACTATCGGGATGCGACCAGAAGGAAGGACCGAGAGGGGGGGGAAGACGTCCCGATGTGAAAGTGGGGAGACCACGATGAGGGGTCCGGAGTGGTGAGGCGCCGGGTGTGGGCGGGCGTCGAGGCCGTGTCGAGTCCGTGTTGAGTGTTTACTAGCTCCGAGTAGAGGGGGCGTTCTGCTGCTAGGGGAAACCTGGAGCGCGGAGCTAACCCTCGGAGACCCGTGTTTACTTTAAGGCCCTTGCCCTGCGAACGCGCACCCCCGGGGCTAGGGCTCTCTTGCCCGTAACCCGATACCGATCATCCGGCCCGCTGGATGCGCTTCTCAGCTCACCGGCCCTGGATGTGAGGTTACCGACTGCACTCCAAGTGCTCCAAGTGCCAAGAGAAGTTCTCGAGGTTCTCGAGGTGGATATCCTTTGGCCGCGTTGGGTAGCGAGGATTGGTGTAACCCGAGCCACGGAGGCGTGTTTTCTGGCGGCCGACCGTCAGTGCACGGAGTTGCCACTTCTCCGACTGCCCCGGCTAGTTCCCGAGGTCGTCGGGTGTGACCCCTTCGTCCCCCGAGACCTAGCGCGGGTGGGTTGGAGGGGGCTCGCCCCGTTCCTCCCCATCGGGCCGCGTGAGCGGCCACGCCTCGCAGATTCGTTTTCGCGCCTGGGTCAGGCGCGCGGGGCATCCCCCGGGTCGCTCGACCAGCGATCCGAAGAGTGGCCGCTATGCGAGGGAAAGAGCGGGGCCCTCGACGCCTCAGTCCGCTTCAAGAAGAAAAACGGGGGTTTTGTTGCGTTGGTGTCCAGTCCGAGCCTGACTGTCCTTTCTATCCATCGTCGACGAGAAAAAGAAAAACCGGCGGGTATCATCATGATACAGATGTCAACATGGCACGGTCGCCAAATGTAATACAAAATGAACTTGGGGGCACGGGACGCGGCACAAACGGGGCACAAACGCCAGGCTACAAAGACGGGGAGGCACGTAGTGACGCAGGGGAGTCTAGGCGACGGCGCAAATGTAAGAACACGAATCAGGTAGGGATGCTTCTCGTTGGACGTTGTGCTCGACGTGTCGAGAGCCAGAGCAGTGTGGCCGAGGGCGGCGGACGGGCGAGCGCGAGGCGGCTGCTTTCGTGCTATTCGGCACAGAGAGAAGAGACGCATTGCACCTTGGTCGTGTCTCTGCCCCTCTGCCGCTGGGGCTCGAGGGCTCTGATTCCTGATTCCCCGCTGTGGAGGACCTCTCTCTCTTGAGGACCTTTCGGTGTTTTGCTGAGGTCCTCGACTGGGGGGAGGACCCTCACCGCACACCGCACCGCTTCCGTGTCGGAGGCGGCGTCGAGAGAAGAAGAACTGGAGCCTCTCGAGCAACCCACGCCGCCGCCGGAAGAACAAAACAACTCTCTCTCACAGCAGACAGGCTCGACACAGGTGCGAACTGGCGCGTGCTAGCACTATCACAGGCACACGCCGGAAGAAGATCAAAGGTGTGCGACAGAGATCTATGCGACAGAGACCGCCGACAAAGAGAAAAGAGGACGTGGTATACACACCACCCCGCACTGTGCCTCTACACGAAATTCAGCATACACGCATCATGTTCATGATGTTTGATGTAGATGAGATCTGCGAAGCAAGTAAGTCGCGTTCACGGGCTCACCGACGCGCGACGGCAACACGGCATCACCATCAGCCTCCTGCACACAAAGTGTTCTTAGCAGAAGTGCGCGCCCGCCCCTGAGTGTTTGTTGGCGTGTGCGAGCACACGAGACAGGGATCGATTCCTGACGTGAGGTCCCTAGTGAGGTCCTCACGCCCAGCCTCGGAGAGGTCCTCATTCCTGGCGGAGGTCTTCGGAGATGATTTTCCGTCTCCTGACCTCGGTCGATGACCTCCCTCGGTGACTCGCGAATTGCCGTCTTGTCGACCCCCTTGTTGTGGTAGTGGGTGAGATATTAAGGCGGTGCAGTCAGTCGTGTGCGGGATTGCAAGCCGCAAAACCTACAGAATGAGAGGTCCTCACCCCAGTACAAGAGGACCTCAGCCACACAAAAGGTCCTCGAGAGTCAGAGAGAGGTCCTCACAGTGGAGAATCAGGAATCAGAGCCTCGAGCCCCAGCGGCAGAGACACGACACGACCAACGGTTCGTTGCTTCTCTGTGCGGGGCACAAACGACAAAGCAGCCGCCTTGCGCGCGCGCGCCGCCCTCGGTCGCACTTGCTCTTGCTTTCGACACGCGCAGCAAAACGTCCAACGAGCAGCATGTAACATCGTGATCATGATCTTTGCGTTATCAATTTGGTGCAGCTGCTTGCCAAGGGCTTCTGAATCAGCTTTACAATGACTAAAAGTCGCGACGGGAGTTTCTTAGTCGATTGGATGGAAATTCTTTTTCTCGCGTGCGTCCCACATGCGAAAGGTGGGTGAGAGGCGGTGCGGTGTGCGGGATTGCAAGCCGCGAGACTACAGAGTGAGAGGTCCTCACCCCAGTAGAGGACGCCACCTGAAAGGTCCTCAAGAGAGAGTCAGAGAGAGGTCCTCACAGTGGAGAATCAGGAATCACATATAGGGCTCGAGCCCCAGCGGCAGAAACACGACACGACCAACGGTACGTTACTTCTCTGTGCGGCACACGAAGCAGCCGCCTTGCGCTCGCCCGTCCGCCCGCCCTCGGCCGCACACCTTTCTTCGCTTTATCGACACGCACACAGCAAGAACGAGCAGCATATACAACATCGTGATTTTGTTCTTGAGTTGGTGCGTCGAAGGCCACTATCATGCAGTACCTGTTGTTGTCCTATGTGCGTTTATTGTGTTCATGTCAATGACAGTCAGACTGATAAACCTCTCTGCCGTCCTCGATGAAACTAACTACAGGTTCAATCACTGTAGCATGCGCACATCCGTGCCGATTGCTACTAATAATGGAAAAGAATGAAAAGAAAGAAAGAAAGAAAACAGACAACCCAAGGGAGGGATGGGAGGACGGCACGCCGCCACCACACAGGGATTTTAAGGAGAGGAGTGTGGTGCGCTAGCCGTCGCCCACCCTAGGGGGTCTGCCTCTTCCTATCTCTTTTCGCAGTCTCTCGCCGATTCTCGCTGCAACCTTCATGCCACCTCGCGGCCGTCCCACTCTCGTCGTTCTCTCCCTTGTCACTTCCTCCTCTGTCGCGTCATTCTCTTCTGCCTCGTCCTGCGCCGCCGCCGCCTGCCGTTCCCTTGTTCTCTCGGCTTCTTTCGCCTTTCGGCGCAGCTCCGCCCTCCTTGCTGCATATCCTGGCCCCTCGAGTCTATCGAGCTCCCCTCGCGCAAGGACCACGTTTCTGACTCCCACTCCGATCATTTGCCTACAGGTCATGTTGTTGCTCAGGTCCACTCTCTCTTCGAACACTCGTGCCTCTACGGATGATGCCGGCGCTGGGGTCCCCTTCGGATGCATCGTGACATCTGACAACTGAATTTCCACTGGTTCGTCCTCCTCAGAGTCATCTTCCCCGTCCTCCTTCCGTTCGGCTCTTCGCTCGGTACGTTCGGTGTGGCTCACCCTCCATGCCGTGAACAGGCGCTTTATCCACCCTATATTCTTCTCTCGTTCCTCTGCCCGTGCCTTGGTCTTGTCGCTGTTTTGTTCGTTGTTTCGCACCCATGTCTGTATGGCAATCGAGGCTGCCTTCCCCACTACCTGTAGTTCACTCGTCACCTCTTCCGCGAGCTCCCTCCTCTTTCTTTCGGGTATGGAGTCCGTGAGTGCGGGTAGCGTGCAGGCAATCACGTGCGCGACGAATTCTTTTCCCGCGCGACGAATTCTTTTCTCGCGCGTGCGTCCGCAGCACAAAATGTGGGGCTTGTCGGTACTTTGCACCGCCTTCGCGAGGGCACCCACCGCAGCACTGCCGCTGCCTCGCCGTGCCGCCGCCGCCGTTATGGCGGCTGTCGACCTCGAAAAGCGGTTCAAGCGTGCAGAGTTCTGGGAGGCGCAGACGCCTCTGAGACGCCTCTCAGACGCCTCCCACTCTGCTCACCCATCCAACAGCTGGCAGCGCACTCGAAACCTCTGAGACATCACCGCTCTGCTCTCGCCCAAATGTCCACGCGTCCGACACGTGCACCATACAATCGCTGCGAGCCCGCGGACGCCAGCCGCCAGAGCGCTCTTAGGCGGGAGACGCGTCGCTGCTCGAGCTCGTCAACGTGCTCGGGAGGTGGGAGTCGTGCTCGGAGTGGCTCGAGCGGACGCGGTTCGCCGTCGTAGAGGACGCGCGCAAGGCGAGTCGCCACGCCGCAGGGCGCAGCGGTGGAACTTTCTCGGGACTTTATCTCGGAACCTTCTTGGAAGCGCTTTTAGGAGAACATGGTGCAGGGCGCATCGGTGGAGCGGTACGACTATGCGCGGCGGAACGGGCTCGTCGAGCGGCTCGCGATGGCGCAGAGCCCTAGAAGCGGAACACGGATTCTTGTATCCCAACCAGCGCTCGAGAGGACGCGCATTCAGCTGTATTCCGCCGTATTCAGCCGTGTGCACTGTATCTGTGGCCCCTCGTTTTCCGGCGGTGCTCTGAATACTCTACACAACACCGTCTTCCCGCCCTGGTGTCGGTGTGTTCACAACACGTAGGTGCAGAACGTGCCGCAGCTACCCTTTCGCGACGAGAGGCTCGTAGTAGCCGAGACTTGCCGGGATTAGCCGGCTACTCGCAACGTGGAATGTAGTGCTACCCTCGAGCAGAGGTCTTCCAACTGCGCGGCTAGTCTCGGCTAGTCTCAGCTGCTCTCGGCGACTCTCGGCGACTCTCGGCAACTCTCGGCTGATTGCGGCCTAGACGCCGAGTGCACCTCCTGCCTAGCGCTGAGAAGGAGTGCACTATTCCACGGGGCGCCGATACACAGCGCTAATCCACGGTGCGCCGATACACAGCGTTCCGCATTATTCCACGGTGCGCCGAATACACAGCGGTCCCGCGTCCACATCACCCCGGCCAGTTCACACGCTAGGCTCGCGGGCTAATCTCGGCTCATCTCGGCTAACCTCGGCTCATCTCGGCTAACCTCGGCTCATCTCGGCTCATCTCGGCTCATCTCGGCCAATCTCGGCTCTAGGCTCGCGGCGTGGGCCGGGAAGAGCGTGCGGGAGATGAACGCGATGCCGGTGAGTCATCATCATTTATTGCTTGCCGACTCCATTTATTGCTTGCCGACTCCATTTATTGCGGCTCCAACCCATCAGTGTGCCTGAGCGACATATGCAATTGCGGCTCCAGCGGCGCGCCAGCGGGTTCTCCACAGGGTATTGCTGTTCACCATCGCCGCCGCCGCCGCCGCCGCCGCCGCCGCCGCCCAACGCGGAGGTCGGGGGTCGGGCCGTTCCTCGCCTCCGGAACTAACTAGCTTACCAACAGGTGAGCCGCGCGGCGGTCGAGATCGTCTTCGACTCGCTCACGCAGAGCAAGTCGTCGCTCGTGCCCGAGAAGGTGATGGATCTATGGCAATCTCGGCCGATCTCGGCCGATCTCGGCCGCTCTCGGCCGCGCTCGGCCGCTCTCGGCCGCTCTCGGCCCGATCTCGGCCGCTCTCGGCCCGATCTCGGCTGATCTCGCTAACGCCGACAAGGTGATGGATGAGCGGCGCGCGCGGCTGATCGGCGCAGAGATTGCGGAGAGTCCGGCGAGGGCTCGAGTGCACCTCGGCCCCCACCTCGGCGGCGTCCTCAAGTAGGCGCCGACGGCGGTGTGCGCCGTGGAAATTTTGGACCCCGTGGACGTGAAAGAAGAGAGAGGCACTTCACACGGCGCATGCACTTAGTTCGAGGGGTGAAGAGCAGTCTGGCCAGCGACTGGACACCGGGCGGCAAGGGTGGACGCGTGCATGCATGCCTCAAAACTCAGGATTCGACGAGGGCGGCTTCCTGGCGGGGATGGTTAAGAGCCGAGTCGCGGTCGTCAGCCGCGCCGCCTCTCGAAAAAAGCAGAGCGTCGGGCGCGTGGAAGGAGGACGCTGTGAACAGGTCGTCGTCGGCTTCTTCCTGCTCGGGAAGGGGCAGCTGTATGGCTACATCTTCGCCGGCCGCATCCTCCTCGACGTGACGGGCAGCTTTGAGCTGATCAAGGTTGGCAAAGCAAACGGGGGGGGCGACGCAGTTACTCATGCAAACAGCAAAGCGGTTTCACTTAGGGGCTGCTCGGCGAGTACACGGAGCCAATCTTCTGGGCACTGACCCTCGGGGCCGTCTACTACGCCTACCAGGCCGACGCAGCGGTCAAGCGCGAGACAGCAGACTTCGAGACGCTCACACGCGAGGAGGCGCTCGAGCGCGAAAAGACCATCGACAAGTCCGCCACGGTGTTTGAAAAGATGGGCAAGGCCCGATCCCAGCCAAAGTGAGCGACGCGCCGCTTGCAAATAAAGAGCCGGACCGCTGCGCCGGCGCGGGGCGCCTCTATCGGCCTCTCGGGCCAGCGGGTGCCGCAGAGGCCAGAGCTACAGTCGATTTTATTGGCTCGGGCTAGAGTACTAGTAAGCCTGTCTAGTTGTACACGAAACTCGAGAGGTAAGGTGTAAGGGGTAAGGTAAACGTCTCCACTCTCCACACACACGTACTTGGCCAAAGGCTAGTTCCATTTCACTCTGACACGCTAATCTTGAAAACGTCCAACGGAGCTCCGTGTTGCTCCCAGCGCCCTCCCCCGCGCTTCCTGCGGCCATGGCCGATGATACTAGTATGAGAGGTCATCTGGCTACCGCGAGCGCGACTCAACTCGCCGACGTCGTCCGATGATTGTGCCTCAAAGTCAGCCTCCGGAGGCTATCGGTGGGGTCGAGCCGGCAGTAGCCGTGACATGTGGTTCCACCACCCCTCGTATGCTTTGCCTCTGACCGCCACCGTTCCCAGGCTGCCAAATGGGATGGAAAGGAAGGCTCGGCGAGCGTATAGAAGCGTGCTCGACCTCGTCGTGGCAACCTGCACGGCAGCGCTGGTAGGCGCGATGAGCGTCGTGCCACCTGACCCGAGACGGGTCGCAGGCGTCGTACCGAGCGCGTCGAGACCGTGTCCTGATGTGATCTGCACGGGTGAGTCACGTCGGCGTCAAAGGAGCGACGTGCGACCTGTCAGAGCTTGATCTCCGATCTCAGCGGCGTCGAGTCGTCTCCGGCGCGCGACAAAGGTACATCCCCAGGAGCGCGAAGGCCCAAGCTGAGACTGGGGATGAAAGCTCTGACAGGTCGCACGTCGCTCTTTTGACGCCGACGTGACTCACCCGTGCAGATCACATCAGGACACGGTCTC